CCCCATGGGTTCTGGTTGCCAGGAGAGGCGGTCGCGCCCCGGTGGCCAAACCTCTCAGCTCCAACCCGCTGGCGGGGCGGGCCCCGGCGAGCGCGGACGTCAAGCAGGCAGGCGGGGCGGCCAGAGTCCGGGGCGATGGCGGCGGAGCAGGACCCCGAGGGGCTCGCGGCGGCGCGGCCGCTGCTCACCGACCTGTACCAGGCCACCATGGCGCTGGGCTACTGGCGCGCCGGCCGCGCGCAGGACCAGGCCGAGTTCGAGCTCTTCTTCCGTCAGTGCCCGTTCGGTGGAGCCTTCGCCTTGGCCGCGGGGCTGCGCGACTGCGTGCGTTTCCTGCGCGCCTTCCGCCTGCGGGACGCAGGTAGGCCCCGGCCCGGCGAGCCCCCGCCCGCGCGCCCCAGAGCCCCGGCCTGCAATGGCCTCTGTCGCCCCTAGACGTGCAGTTCCTGGCTTCGGCGTTGCCCTCAGACACAGACCCTGCGTTCTTTGAGCACCTTCGTGCCCTCGACTGCTCTGGGGTGACGGTGCGGGCCCTGCCCGAGGGCTCCCTCGCCTTCCCCGGCGTGAGTGCAGGGGGTGGGACGCGGTGGCGGAGGGGGGGCGGCGAGCGGGGCAGGGCGACACCGAGTGACAGCCCGCCCCGCAGGTGCCGCTACTACAGGTGTCCGGGCCGCTGCTGGTGGTGCAGCTGCTGGAGACGCCGCTCCTCTGCCTGGTCAGCTACGCCAGGTAGGGCTCGGGGTGGGAAGGCCCGATCCTGCGAGTGGGAGGGGCCTTCCCGCCGGCCTGTGGGGCGTGGCCCCGTGGGGGCGGGGTGGGGGTGGAGCTCGGGCCGCTCCCATTCCTGCTGCGCGGTGTCTCAAGAGAGGCCGGGCCGAGTAGCTTCCTGGTTGTCACTCCGGTCCCCTACTCCCCGGCTCCCACAGCCTCATCGCCACAAATGCCGCGCGCCTTCGCCTGATCGCAGGGCCCGACAAGCGGCTGCTGGAGATGGGGCTTCGTCGTGCTCAGGGCCCCGACGGGGGTCTTACTGCCTCTACCTACAGCTACCTGGGCGGTGAGGGCCAGGAAGGGAGGAGTCTAGCCCCGAGACCTAACCCCCATCAATGTCTGAAGTCCCCCAACTTTACCCTGATCCAGGCTTCGATGCCAGCAGCAACGTGCTCGCAGGACAGCTGCGGGGCGTGCCGGTGGCCGGGACCCTGGCACACTCCTTCGTCACTTCCTTTTCAGGCAGCGAGGTGCCCCCTGACCCGGTCAGTACCCCTGTCCCCCTAGCTACATTCCAGAGGGGAGACCCCCAGAGCCATCCCTTTCCCTGAAGGAGGAGGTGCCAGTCCCTGCTCAGCTCTCAGGCAGGTACCATGCCTGGCCCATCCAAGCCACCTTGGGCTGGTGTCTCGGTGTGGCGCTGGCAGACGGGTGCTCAGACTGTCTACTGGGGCAAATCAGCACCCCCACCATGCTCTGGATCCTCTGTTCTTCACCCCTCTCCATAGATGTTGGCTCCGGCGGCTGGTCAGGGCGCCCAGGTGGATCTGGCTGCCAGCGTGGAGACGTGGCTGGAGCGCGTGTGTGGCCACCTGGGGCTGGGTGTGCAAGAGCCGCACCGGGGGGAGCGGGCAGCCTTTGTGGCCTACGCCCTGGCTTTTCCCCGGGCCTTCCAGGGCCTGCTGGACACCTACAGTGTGTGGAGGTGAGGCCCGGCCACACCCCAGGGTGGTCTCAGCAGAGAAGCTGCAGACCCCCCATGCTGACCCTCCTGTCCCGTCCCCAGGAGTGGGCTCCCCAACTTCCTGGCTGTAGCTCTGGCCCTGCAGGAGCTGGGCTACCAGGCAGTGGGCGTGAGGCTGGACAGTGGCGACCTGCTTCAGCAGGCTCGGGAGATCCGCGGGGTCTTCCGGACAGCTGCGGCCCAGTGAGTCCCTGGGAGGGGCTTTGTCTGCTGAGAGACCCCCTCCAGCTCAGGGGAAGGAGGAGGGAGGCTCTCTGAGGCTACCCGAGTCGCGATGCTGCAGTGGGCGAGGAGGCTGCTCTGGGCTCGCTCAGGGGCCTGTAGGTACGAAGGCTTGAGCCAGACCAGCAGGTGGTAGAGGGCGGCTGGACAGGTCATGGGGGCCGCGGGAGTTGGGAACATCCGAGGGGCTCCCCTGCCACAGGTTTGGGGTGCCCTGGCTGCAGTCAGTCCCCATTGCTGTCAGCAACAACATTGATGAGGAGGAGCTGGCCCGGCTGGCCCAGAAGGTGGGCAGGGCAGGGGCAGGCCAGAGGGTGGCGTGGGGGCCCTGGGCCTGCACATGCTGGCCGAGTTCAGTGCCCACCCACTCCCTTCCAGGGCAGTGAGGTGAATGTCATTGGCATCGGCACTAGCGTGGTCACCTGCCCTCGCCAGCCTTCCCTGGGCTGTGTCTACAAGGTGGGGTGCAGTGCGAGTGGGCTGGGGGTGGACTGGGGGTCCGGGGAGAAGGTCCAGCTAGCCCAGCACCCTGTCCCCACAGCTGGTGTCTGTGGGAGGCCAGCCGCGGATGAAGCTGACTGAGGACCCCAAGAAGCAGACATTGCCTGGGAGCAAGGCTGCCTTCCGGCTCCTGGGCTCTGATGGTGAGGCCCCTCCACTCTCCTCCGTTCAGTTCCGAGCCCCAGGCCCCTCACGTTATTCTTGGCGCCCCTCACGTGCACACACACACAGGGTCTCTGCTGTTAGATGTGCTGCAATTGGCAGAGGAGCCACCTCCCCAGGCTGGCCAGGAGCTGCGAGTCTGGCCTCAAGGGGCCCGGGAGTCCCGTACTGTGAGGCCAGCCCACGTGGAGCCACTGCTGCGACTCTGGGTCAAGCAGGGACAGGTGATCACCCCTACCCATCCCCGAGTCTGCACCTTCAACCCAGACCAAGCTCTGACATCTGACCTTGTGCTCCTTCCCGCCTCCCAACAGCTGTGTGAGCCGCTGCCATCTCTGGCTGAATCCAGAGCCTTTGCCCAGCAGTCCCTGCACCGTCTGAGCCCTGCCCACAGGCGGCTGGAGCAGCCAGCACTGTACCAGGTGCGTGCAGGCCTACGTCATCAACCCAGCCTGTGCTCTCTGCCCCCATGGCCCCATCACCCCCACATCTCCCTCCTGCAGGTCGCACTGTCTGAGAAGCTCCAGGCTCTGGTGGACAGACTGAGTGCCAGAGGAGCCCTCTGACAACCTCATGCTGGGAACTGCCTGAAATTAACATGAGTCATTCACTGTCCCCACAACTTGCCATGTGTCATTTCTTCATCCAGCCTGCCACTCGCTGGATCCTCAGGGCTTCCTGAGGTGGACTGGAGTCAGGAATTAGTGAGAGGGTTAAAGCTCCCAGGGGAGACCCCAGGCTGGCCAGGGTTCGGGAAGCAGCCTGGTGCTGAGGCCTGAGATCAGCTAAGGCTTGTGGGAGGGTGTCCGAGGCTTGAGGAGCTGGACTCTAGGGGCAGATTGGGGGCAGGGCAGGGCTGTAGGGAAATGGGGGCCGTCTTTGTGCCCAACTAAGAGCTGGGGGAGTGGCTGGGAGACCTTAGCCACTGAGGCTGGAGGTGGGAGCCACGGGGTGGGTTGAAGCACCAGCTGGAGGGGCTCTGGGATTCCCCCCAGGAAGGCTCGCTGGGATACCTCCACCTCCCCAAGGGGAGGCCTGGGTGTCCCCTGCCACTGCTGCTGGCAGGCCTGCGGGTCCCTGTGCCCCAGGCTCCGCCCATCTGGCTCCCTCTCGGGTTCCAGCATGTCACAGTGTGGACCAGGCCTTGGTCATGGGGACCCAGCTGCTGCCCGCAAAATGCCAGGAAAGACGTGGAGCGGTGGGGCCTGCCTGACTGAGTCAGGGAAGAAGTTAGGGAGTAGGGGCCCGCCCTGGGCGCCCGGCCAGGCCCTGGCTGCCCTGCCTCTGTGCTGCAGGCCTGTCAGGTCTCCACCGGCTTCCACTCCAGCGGAGCCGCTCAGGAGGGAGGGTCGAGGCTCTGTGGGACACGGGGGCCAAGGCCTCGGCCTCCTGTCTGGGTGGTGGGCAGCTCCAGGAGCCGGCAAGGGCGCGGGGGAATGCTGACTGTCCAGGGGACGGCCCAGGGCTCTCCCGCCTGCCCAGGTATTTAGCAGGACCAGCTCTTCCGGCTCCCCCAGCCCAGGCTGGGCAGTGGCCACTGTGTTGCTGGGTGAGGATGACAGTGAGGATTTGGGGCAAAGGCCCAGTCGGGCCTCCTGGGAGAGGGGGGCTTGGAGAGAGATACACACTCCTGCCACAACGCACACAGCAGAACACACCCAGGCCCAAGGCCCCCTCAGGTCTCCACTTCTGAGCTTTGCACTCTGGCACCAGGACCCAGACCCTCCCCCAGTGACTCATCCAGTGACGTGAGGCACCGGGCAGCTCCTCTTCCTCTGGCCCACCCCCAGGGTGCTCTGAGTTCAGAGGGGGTGACCGCTCTTTGACCGTCCCCTTCCCGGAGGTCCGGTCGGGTGGGAACACAGAGGGGACAGCCCAGCCCCCGGCCCCTGGCCCAGCGTGCACTCAATTGCCTTTCAGGGCTGAGTCAGGCAAGGTCTTGGTTCAGGGCTGGGCTCAGACCCTCAGAGCTGTGCACACTTGCTGAGATTCCATGCCCAGCAGGGTTGGAGGTCAGGTCAAGGACTCTCCTCCCTGCCACCAGCCCTGTGCCCCTTCCCCGGCAGATCATCTGTCCCCCAGGGACCTCGCTTGGCCCTTTCCTAGGGCCCAGTGGGCAGAACCGGACCCCAGACACTCAGGCTGCAGGCAGCCTGGGCAGGAGGGCCCCCCCAAGGCTCCTGGCAGGTACCACACCTGGAGACACCTCTGTATGACTCCCCACTCCCCCCCCCCCACACACACACACGCTGGCGCACGCGCATGCCACCACACCTGTCCCTGGTCCCGCCTGCCTGGGGCCTGCTTCTAGGTCAGGCCTGGGCACGACTTCCTGGGAGGACCAACAACAGGTGCTACAAGCTTGGCGTGTGCCGCGGCCATGGCTGGGGGCGTGTGGGGCCCGGCCCGCGGGGCCCCCGTGGGGGCCCTGACCCTGACAGCCCTGGCTGAAGGAATCCGGGCCAGCCGAGGGCAGCCCTGGGGACCCCCTGCCCCAGGCCCTCAGCTCCAGCCTGAGCCTGAACCTTCAGCAGGGGAGCCCGGGAGGGCAGCCACCGCCCCCAAGGCTGGTGGTGAGCCACTCTCCCCGCCCCCTCCCCAGGAACCAGCCCTGGGGGTTCCCCAGCAGGTAAGTAGGAGGGCTGCCTGGGGGGCAGGGTAGGTAACCGGGGAGGGAGCAGGGAGAGGGCAGAAAGGTTCTGTGGAGGGAGGAAGAGCGTGGGAGAGGCAAGGGGGCTCCATAGGCCCCCCCCCAATCCCCAGACACCCTGGAGCTCCTGGGAGGAGGGGGCCCTCGCAGACCTGGCCGTGTACACCGCCGCCTGCCTGGAAGAGGCTGGCTTTGTGGGAACGCAGGCGACAGCGCTCACCCTGTCCTCAGCCCTGGAGGCGCGGGGGCACAGGCTGGAGGACCAGGTGAGCCCCCGGCCCCTCCCCATGGACACCTTCCCGCCCAGGCCCCGCCTGCCAAGCCCCTCCGAGCCTGGGGCGGCGAGGGGTGGGGGAGGGGGGTGTCAGCGTGAGCTGCGCCCGCTTGGTGGGGGCAGGGGCAGGGCTCACAGAGACCTGACTGCCGCCCGCCGTCCCCCAGGTGCATGGGCTTGTGCGGGGGCTGCTGGCGCAGGTGCCCCACCTGGCGGAGGGGCGGCCCCGGCGGGCGGCCCTGCGGGTGCTGAGCGCGCTGGCCTTGGAGCACTCCGGGGACGTGGTGTCCGCGCTGCTGCGCTGCTCACCGGCCCCGAACCGGTAACCTTTCCCGCCCCACCAGGCGAGCGTCCTTCGGGGCCCCACGCGGCTTCCTTCCCCCTTCCGGCTCTGTCATGGAGTCCGGCCCAGGGCAGGCAGGTGGAGGAGGGAGACTCCCCTCCCCTCCTCCCTCCCTTAGCCCCTCCCACCTCGTGTTCTCTGCCAGTTCCTGGTTGCTCCTGGCCTTTCTCCCGGCCTGGGGGTGCCCCCCTGAGCAAGCCGGTGGCTTCTGCACCCCCAACGCCCCTGGCTCTGGTTAGTCTGCCCCCAGGGAATGTTATCTTCCATGTTATTCCCCACGGTGACTGTTCATGATGCCAGGTTTGTTGCTGGCCCGTCGGGGTCCCATGTGGTCTGTGCAGATGCCACTCATCTTGTTTCTCAGGGATTGCCAGGGTGGGGTGGGGGGCAGTTAACCCCCCCTCCTCCTGCTGGAGTCCTAGTGGCTGCCTCCCCGACTTGGGGGCTCACCTCACCCCAGCCCCAGACCCTGTCTCACACGCCCCGTGCCCCCAGGGCGGCCACCGAGCTCTGGCGCAGCCTGAGCCGGAACCAGCGTGTGAATGGACAGGTGCTGGTGCAGTTGCTGTGGGCGCTAAAGGGCTCAGCCGGATCCCAGCTAGAGGCGCTGGCGGTAGGTGACTCTATCCAGCTTGCCAGAGAACACCCCAGCCCTGGCCCAAGAGGCCAGGAGAGTCTGGCTACAGGGGCTCGGGGGCAGCAGGCGCTCACCCTAGTCACACCCGTCCATAACGTCCCTCGAGCGTGGAGGCCTTGTCCTCTCCCTGTCTGCCCTGTCTGAGCCTGAATGAGCCCCTGGTTCCACAGGCCACTCGCGCCCTTGGGGAGATGCTGGCTGTGTCTGGCTGTGTGGGTGCCACCCGAGGCTTCTACCCGCACCTTCTCCTGGTGCTGGTCACTCAGCTCCACAAGCTGGCCTGGGATGCACACCCTCCCGACACACCCAAGGTTTGGGCCCCATCTCATCGAGGGCCACCGCACAGTCACGCCAGGTGAGGGGATACACTCCAGGGTGTGAGGGCTGGCCTTGTGCCCTGCTGGCCCTCACTGCCCACTTGCTGCTGCCCCCGCCTCCAGCTGCACCGTGGAGGCCTTGAAGGCCCTGCTCACTGGGGATGGAGGCCGCATGGTGGTAACGTGCATGGAGCAGGCTGGAGGCTGGAGGAGACTGGTGGGAGCCCGCACCCACCTGGAGGGTGTCCTGCTGCTGGCCAGGTGCGGGGCGGGGGTGTGGGAGAAGCAGGGACATGGAGGTGGTCAGGGGGCAGCTTCTTGAGGGAGAGCTTCCGTTTGGCCCCGTCCCAGTGCCCTGGTGGCCCACGCCGACCACCATCTGCGAGGCCTGTTCGCAGACCTGCTGCCGCGGCTGCGCAGCACAGACGACGCACAGCGCCTGACGGCCATGGCCTTCTTCACTGGGGTGAGCCTGATTCCAGGAGGGATGGGGAGGGGTGGCAGTGCACTTGGCCCCTGAGCGGCCCTGGCCTGTGCAGAAAGTCAGCGTGCTGACCCTGTGTCCCCCTGCCAGCTGTTGCAGAGCCGGCCCACCGCGCGGCTCCTGCGGGAGGAGGTGATCCTGGAACGGCTCCGCACCTGGCAGGGCGACCCTGAGCCCACGGTGCGCTGGCTGGGTCTGCTGGGCCTCGGCCACTTGGCGCTGAACTGCGGGAAGGTGAGGGCGTGGCGGGGGGCGTGGCGGGGGCGGGGCGGGGCGGGGCAGGGCGAGGGGCTCCCACGAGTCCCTGTCCCCGCAGGTGCGCCACGCGACCACGCTGCTCCCCGCACTTCTGGGCGCGCTGGGCGAGGGTGACCCACGGCTCGTGGACGCTGCGCTGGGGGCGCTGCAGAGGGTCCTGCTGCGGCCGCGGGCGCCGGTGCGGCTCCTGAGCGTGGAGCTGCGGCCCCGCCTCCCGCCACTCCTGGACGACGTGAGCCCCTTCCGCCCCTTCTGCCTGTCTTTCCCGAACGAGACCCCGCTGGGGCCCCCGGGGAACTCCCGCAGACTGCAGCCCTCCGGACGCCCCCTTCCTGCGGGCTCCTGATCGCGCCTTCCTGTGCAGGCCCGGGACTCGGTCCGCGCCTCCGCAGTCGGGCTGCTCGGGACGCTGGTGCGGCGCGGCCGGGGTGGGCTCCGGGTGGGGCTCCGCCGCCCCCTGCGGAAGCTGGTGCTGCAGAGTCTCGTTCCGCTGCTGTTGCGTCTGCACGACCCCAGCCCGGACACCGCTGAGGTCAGCCCCCAACACTGTCCTGACCACCCCACCCTTCCCCAACACAGCCTCCTCTCCAGATAGCGCAGGTCAGGGACTTACCCGCAGGACTGCAGGAGTCCTCTGCCCCTTACCCTGGCCACCTCCTGCCTCCCAGGTCCTTTCTTGCCACTTTGCTTTCAGACCTCTAACCTCGCTCCCTACCCATTCCAGAGCGCAGAATGGACGCTGGCCTGCTGTGACCAGGCCCTTCCCTGGGGCCTGCTGGAGGAGGTGGGCACGGAGGCTCACTACCACAGCCCTGAGGCCCTAAGCCGCGTCTGCCACCGCCTGGTCAGTTGGGGGGTCGGTGAGAATGACGGGGTGCAGTCAGCTGCCCACTTGGTCCAGTATACACCAGGGCCACTCCCCCCCAGACTGAGACTCCTCACCTTTCCGGTCAAGGTGGTGGCTCATCGAGGCCTCAGAGGCCCTTGGGCCATGGCCTCACCTCTGAGGCCTCCACTCCACGCAGAGCTGGCCATCCTGTCCCAGGAGCCCTTCTGTCCCCAGGTCCAGTGGTACCCGAGTCACGTGCCCAGCTTCCTGAGTCAGACCCAGGGCTACCTGCGGAGCCCTCAGAGCCCCCTGCGCTTGGCGGCCACCCTACTCACAGGTGAGGCAGGCCTGGCATCACGCTGCTCCCTGCACCCAGGGTTCTGGGCGCTGGGCCAGCCCCTTGCTGCTGTGGGCACAGGGCCAGCACTCAGGGCTTCACTTTGGTCTAGGCTTCCTGGTCCATCACTCCAGCCCCAGCCACGTCAACCAGGACCTGCTGGACTCTCTGTTCCAGGGTGAGAGCCCGACTCGCCCTCGTGGGGTTCCGCAGGGTTCCAGAGAGGTGGTGGCTGCCAGGGCAAAGTGGATGGGTAGGGGACTGGGATGTGTGGGGGACAGCCGGAGAGCCCCTCCCCCCGCCATATGAACTGCCCTGTCCCCGCAGACTTGGGGAGGCTGCAGAGTGACCCTGAGCCTGCTGTGGTGGCGGCAGCACGCGTGTCTGGCCAGCAGGTGGCGCTGCTGGCCCGCGTGCAGCCCCAGCCCTGCGGCTGGCGCCTCCCCCGCCCCGGCCGACCCAGCTGCCTGCCGGCCCGGCCCCCGCCCGTCTACGCCGACAGCCCGTTTCAGCACTGCAGCCTCCCCGGCCGCTGGGGCTGCTCAGGTCCAGGCTGAGCTGACCGGCTGGCCCTCCGATGGGGGCCAGGGTGCTGACCCAGGCTCCCTGCTCTGTGGCCTGTCTTGGCCGGGGGGCAGATCTGCAGAAGAGGTCCGCTTTGAGGGGCACCTTGGGCATGGTGCTGGGCACCAGAGCCTGTCCCCGTCCCCGACCCCGTTGGGGCTCTGCATAGTCTGCTGCACACAATGACCCCCAACCCTGACCGCCCTGTGACTAGATGGACCACGAGTTTCTGACGAAGCACCTTCACCCTCAGCTTCTCGCCTCATCCATCCCTTCGTCCGTCTGTCCCCCAGCAGGCCTCTTCCTCTCCCAGCCCCACGGTGTGTGCCCTGCCTGGATGGCGCCTGGCCTTCTGGGCCCAGGCCAGGTGGGGACATGGAAGTGGGTACCACCCCGGAAGCCAGCCCCGTGAAAGGCTGCCTCTGGCCCTCCCGGCCGCTAGTCAGCCCCCTTGATGTGCTCCACTCCTTGCTGGCCACATGCTGGCTGGGAGGTTCTGAGGTTTCCGGCCACACCCTCCCTGCTCAAGAAGCATCCGTCTGTCCGCCTGTCCACACCCACTGCCGAGTAGCCTGGCCCTGTTCCTGCCCCTCCCCTCTAGCTCACCATCTCAGACCCCCCCCCCCCCCCCCCCCCCCCCCCCGGGTCTTCTCTGGAGGCTGCCCCTGACCTCCCACTGGACACTACAGGTCTGAGATGATACCTGCGGGCTCAGGTGTGGAGTGCCAGCATCTGCCCCTCACCAGGCTGAACTGTCTCTCCCACATCCCAGCATCTGCTCAGGGCTGGGTGATGGAAGAAGTTCCTCAGGACTGCTCTGAAGCAGTGACCCAGGCTCTCCAGACCCAGGACAAGTGGCTTCTGCCCCCTGGAATGCCCACCTTGAGGTGTCCTCTTGCCCTTTCAGGGCCCCCAAAGCTACCTCCTCAGAGATGGAGGCCTCCACTCACACAGCCTCTTGGAGGCTGGGGTCCTGCCCATCCCAATGGAAAGCATTTAAAATAAAGATACAGCGGGATGTCCCTGGTGGTCCAGCAGTTAAACCTCTGTACTCCCAATGCAGGGAGCACAGGTTCGATCCCTAGTTAGGGAACTAAGATCCCACATGCCGCATGGTGCAGCCAAAATGAAAAACACAGATCCTAGGGGTTCAGTGTCTGTCTGGGCCAAGGCTGGGCTCTGATGAGCTGCGCCTGGTCCAAGATCAGGCTTGGGCTAAAATTACAGGGAAAGCAGCAGGTGGCTGCCAACAAAGGCCCATCTAGTCAAAGCTATGGTTTTTCCAGTAGTCATGTCTGGATGTGAGAGTTGGATTATAAAGAAAACTGAGTGCTGAAGAATCGATGCTTTTGAACTGTGGTGTTGGAGAAGACTCTTGAGAGTCCCTTGGGTTTCAAGGAGGTTCAACCAGTCCATCCTAAAGGAAATCAGTCTTGAATATTCATTGGAAGGACTGATGGTGAAGCTGAAACTCCAATACTTTGGCCACCTGATGCAAAAAGACCCTGATGCTGGGAAAGACTGAAGGCGGGAGAAGGGGACGACAGAGGATGAGATGTTTGGATGGCATCACCGACTCGATGGACATGAGTTTGAGCAAGCTCTGGGAGTTGGTGATGGACAGGGAGGCCTGGTGTGCTGCAGTCCATGGGGTCGCAAAGAGTCAGACATGACTGAGCGACTGAACTGAGCTGAACTGAACTGAGCATGTGGCTGGGGCTTGGGTCAGCCCTAGGCAGAGTCAGGCAGGCTTTGCCCTGACTGAGAAGCTATGCTGCCCACACAGATCCTGAGCAGAGTCAGAGCTCAGCAGGGAGGGGCCAGGGTCTCCTTGTTGGTCACTCTGAGGGCAGGGGAGGCCCTGGCCAAGGGCACTCGTCTGTGAGAAGACAGGGGCATAGTTTGGTGTATTAGTCCGCGATTCTCCAAGGGGAATGCCAAAACTGGATTACACTATGGGAAACATCCGGGGACGTGCTGGGGAGGTCAGGAGGCTGTCAGAACCTGGGAGGCAGAAGGAAGGGAGGCTGGTGAGAATGTCTTCGGGGGTCTCCAGCCCGACCCCCTCAGGGAGGCACCAGGTCCCGGCCCTGCGGCCCCTCCATACTGCCCAAAAGGTGGTGGGAGGACCCCCCCAGCCACCTGATGGTCGGGCCCCTCAGGGGCTTGCAGCCTGGAGCCAGAAGCTGGGGGAGCGTCTGAGGCCCGGTGCCTCCACCAGGCACGAGCCTGTCCAACCACAGGGCATGGCTGGGCAAAGCCCCCAGCAAGGCCCACTGGAAAGCGGGGCCCAGCCTCATGGGGGGCTCGGCAGGCAGCACCCTGCCTCTTCCCATGCCTCCCTGCGGGGCCTGGGCCTCTCTGGCCTGGGCACCCACTCCCCTCCACTCCACTGGCCATCTGGAGTGCATGTGCCCCCGCATGCTCAGTGCTGTGTGCACTTGCCCCCCCGTGAGGGCATCCCCTGCCCTGTAGCCGGGGCCCCACCAGACACCCTGCTTGCCGCTTTGTCCTGGGAGTGGGACGCTTCTCAGGGATTTCTCCAGTGCGGTCCCCAGGGGGGCTCCAGTCAGGGCGGCAACACCATAGGCCTGCTCCCGGGTGAGCCCCGCTCCCGGATGAATGCTGTTGGTCAGTGAGGCCCAGCAGAGCCGCCCAGAGCGCTCACCTCCCCCCAAGGTCTAGGGTCGGGGCGCACTGCTTTACACAGAGGATGCTTAGATGCTCCCAAATGAGCTGTCACTGGAGACCTCCGGGCACTGGCGACCCTGGAGCCTGAGGGCCAACATTGAGACCCTCCAAAGGGCACCTGGGTGGGGCTCAGCAGACCCGGTTCACCGCCTGACCTTGCAGGGAGTGTCTCGGGGCCCCAGAAGCAGGGCTGGTGGGCCCGCTTACTTGCCGCTTTCTCAGACCTGCGCTGCTCCAGTCCTGTTCGCCTTGGTCATGCCTTTCAGTGCCCTAGCAAGGTTCCCAAAGGAGGAGCTTGGGCTCCGGGGAACACAAACAGGCCTGGGAGGTATCCAACTTTTCCCTTGCCCTGGGTGAGGGGACAATTGCTAAGCGTTTCGGTACTGGGATCTGGGATGTTTAGGGACCACTCTGTTTTAATACTAATTTTACTGTCAACCTCAATCCTGAGTTTTCTCAGAGGTTAATGTCCCAACTACAGCTGGGCTGACCACCTCTTCTCTTTATTTTTTTTGGCCACATTGCTTGTGGGATCTTCGTTCCCCAACCAGGAATTGATCCCAGGCCCCAGCAGTGGAAGTGCTGAGTCCTTAACTACTGGACCACCAGGGATTCTTGTCCCTTCTGTTTAGCCAGTCCTGGGGCTGCAGGGCAGCGGCGAGCCGGACAGGAAGGGAACATGGCTTCCCTCGCATTCCACCAAGAGGAGGACCGCAGACTGGCTCCCACAAGTTTCTCCAGGTTGTGACAACTCCAGGGTGAGAGTAACTGCCTGGCTGAGTCAGTCACCACCTCTCTGTGCCCGGCAAGGCCCAGGGACCACGGCTCAGGGCCGGGAGGTCTCCTCTCCTCTCGATAGACTCTTACCTTTGAGTGAATGAATTTGGATGAGACACACCCCAAAGGCCAGTTTCTCTGGTTCGAGTCATTTCCCCCAGGCCCCCATGCAGCCCCAGGAGTGCAGGCCTGTCTGTTAGCGCCGTGTTCTTGCCCCCCTGCAGCCCTGCATAGGGACGGCGGCCCACTGCCTGCATCAGAACACCAGGATGCTCTCAGGTTTCCTGAGGTGGACAGAGAACAGTCCTGGGGGTTGGCATTGCCTTGCCCTGTTCTTTCCAGGCCAGCCTGCTATGGGGGGGCAGGGGCAGGGAGGAGCCTGGCCACGTGGCTGGTCGCTCCGGAGTGGCCAGGTCCAGCACCCGGAAGGCCCCTGGTGCCTGCTCCTGGCCCCCAGGTCCCTCCCCGTCCTGTGCAGGCACCCCCCACTGGGCCCCCGACCCCTGATAGAGGGCTCCTCGAAAGCTCAGTGCGTCATTCCCTGTGTGTGTCATTCGTCCCATTTATTGGCTGTCCCCATCCCCCAGGTCTTGTGAAGAGCCGCCCACATGGCTGGGTGTGGTTCCTGGCAGCCGGTGGGTGCGAGCTGTGCCTGTGGCGGGGGGGCCGCAGGCTAGCAGAGTCGGCTCAGCCTGAGCAGCAGTGCCAGGCAGGCGTAAAGTGCGCACGCGCAGCTGCAGGCCCCCGGCTCCCAGCACACTTGGGGGGCGCCCACCTGGGGCTCCAGGCCGCACGCCTCCAGCAGGGCCCAGGCGGGTGCCTCTGAGCCCCAGCTGTCGCCCAGGCACTCGGGCGGCAGGGACACAGCCTGGCGCTCCTGCCACGGGCTGCTCTGCTCCACAAGGCTCTCCACCTGGCAGACAAGGTGGGAGCGGTCAGAGGATCGGGCACCCGCCCACACCACCCCATCGCCGGGCACTGGGCACCACACCGGCCCACCCCTCCCCTACACCCTGGCCTTCTCACCAGCCGAAAGGTCCCCAACAGGGCCCCCGTCTCCAGCACCTTAGCCAGCAGCACGTGCTGGGCTTCACTCAGCGCTGCGGAGAGACCTTGGGTGAGAGGGCTTCCAGGGACCAGCCAGAGGAGCTCACGTCCCTGCCCCTTCCCTGCCCCGCCCCAAGCCCCTTACCTGCTAGCCCTTGCAGCAGGTAGAAGACGGGGCCTGCGAGCTCTGCTTCCAGCCGTCCAGAGGGCAGCACCAGGGACTCGAGGATGGTGCCCACCGGGCCATCCTGTGGCTCCACCTGCCCACTGCACAGGCCCTGCTCCAGCTGGAGGCACCCAGGGGGAGTGGGGGTGAGCAGGGCGGGATAGGCCCTGCTCCAGGTTGGGGCGCCCGGGGGAGTGGGGGTGAGCTGGGCGGGCAGGCACCTGCTCTAGGTGGGGGCGCCCGGGGGAATGGGGGTGAGCAGGGCGGGCATGCACCTGCTCCAGGTGGGGGTGCCCGGGGGAGTGGGGGTGAGCAGGGCGGGCAGGCACCTGCTCCAGGTGGGGGCGCCCGGGGGAGTGGGGGTGAGCAGGGCGGGCATGCACCTGCTCCAGGTGGGGGACACTGCACAGGCCCTGCTCCAGCTGGAGGCACCCAGGGGGAGTGGGGGTGAGCAGGGCGGGATAGGCCCTGCTCCAGGTGGGGGCGCCCGGGGGAGTGGGGGTGAGCAGGGCGGGATAGGCCCTGCTCCAGGTGGGGGCGCCCGGGGGAGTGGGGGTGAGCAGGGCGGGCAGGCCTCTGCTCCACCACCCCACCCAGCTCTCATGCTACCCCACCCCCTAATGCCCCGCACGCACAGCCCAGCTCACTCACCGACTCCTCCAGGGCTTGCAGAGCCGGCTCGTCCCATAGCACCTGCCCCAGGCCACCCAGCAGCCGCCCACATGGCCCCTTGGACAAGCCCTCCAGGCCCATGGCCCAGGCCTCCACCTCTGCCCGCAGGCCCTGGAAGCCATCAGTGGTCGCCAGCCAGTGCTCCATGGACCCATCTGTGGGGACAGGTCTGCAATTGCCCAGGTGCCCACGTGGCCCCAGGAGCCCTAGTAAGGGAGGGCAGATGCTGGGGGCAAAAGGGGAGCAGGGGCCCCAGGGTGGCCCAGAAGGTACTGACCCGACTGGAACTGGAAGTAGTCAGAGAGGGCCCTTATGGAGGCCAAGCTGAAGCAGGAACACGGATGGCCGTCTGCACTGCTGGAGGGCCTGCGGCCTGGGCGGGGCGGGGCTGCTCAGTGCCGGGGCGGGGCCCGAGCCAGGGAGCGCTGAGGCCGCCCCTGGGCCCTCACGGCCTGTCATCCCAGTCCTGGCAGCCCGGGGCAAGGAGCAAGGTCAAATCTGCCTGGTGCCAGCCTGTCGCCATGCTACCCACGTGTGTGTGTGCATTTGCACAACTGTGTGTGTGTTGCTCATGTATGTGTGTGTGTGTGCATTTGTGCACACAAGTATGCGTGTTGCATGTGTGTATATGCGTGAGTGTGCATGTGTGTTTGCGTGGGTGTGTGTGTGTGCATTTACACTAGTGTGTGCATGTGTGCGTGCACATGTGTGTGTGTCTCCCAGATGTGCTGTGCTGGGCCCTCCTTATCAGCCTGTCCCACTTCCCAGGTGCATGGGCCTCACCTGCCCGCAGCAACGGGAAGGTCCTTTGCTTCTTGTCTGGGAAGAGGAGGATGTCTGGAAGCCGGGAGGGGCAGAGATGGGGAGGCAGGTTGGCGGAACACCTGGCCTTTCCCTGGCCCACCGGGGGCTCCCTGTGCAGTCCCCGCTCTGTGCCCTGACCTCCCACCTGCCTGAACAAGTGGCTCTCAGCCACCCCGGCCCACAGTCATGCCACCAGATGTCCCCAGCACCCCCAGGCAGCAGGTGACTCTTCCAGGCCTCCCCGCCTCTGCCACGGAGCCTGGGCCCCAGAAGTGACCCGGACCCCGGCTCACCCCAGTCAGAGCCAATAACCAGCTGGGCCACCCGAAATGCGAGGGTGCTGCCTGAGGGGATGGTGACCATCTTCTTCCGGCTCAGGTGGCCCTCGCCTTTGCCCTGAGGGATGGATGTGGGCTCAGAACTGGGCTCCCCACCACCCAGTGGGGCCGGGGGCAGCCAGGTGCTGGTGGCAGGGGTTTGCATGGGGACACTGCCCTCCTGCCTCCCCCGCTGTGTCCACTGCAGGTCCCTCACCACCCACCTGCAAGCAGAGGGCTCCCGGAAGTGCAAACTGGCCTGAGCCCTCCTGCTTGTGCGTCCGGGTGACCTCCACCTCCTTCTGTGTCTGCAGCACCTCGGTCACTACGAACACGTCATCCCCCCGACTCCGCAGCTGCTGCAGGGTTTTGGGCTCAGGCTGCCGCAGGCGTCTGTGGTGAGTGGGCCAGTGGGAGGCTTGCAGGGTGTGCCTTGCCCTCCCCTCCCCCTGCCCCAGGATGGCCTTCCCTTCCCCGGACCTCAGTGTCTGTGGCCATGGATGAATAGGGTGATGTGGATGCCCCGGCACGGGACCCTTATCGCCCCATCCCCTGGGTGCTTCAGTGCCTGTGGGCAGACAGGGGGCAGGAAGAAGCAGGCCTCTGGAGGGGCCCGCTCTGTGGCTGGCTGCTCACCTGTCTGCTGTCTCCCTCCACTCTCTGGGTTCAGATCTCACGTCTGTGTGCTGAGCTAATGGTCCTTCTCACCAAGGTCCCTGTGTGTGTTCTACCCCAGCCTCTTTGCAGCAGGGCTCAGTCTGACCCCTGGCCCCCTGACCTGCAGGATGCAGGCCCCCAGGACCTGGTAGCCTCCTTCCCAGCCGCTGGTCCCCTCACGGTCCCTGATTCTGGGACGTCCCTCAGCCTTCACAGACACCCTATGACTGCTGCCGCCCCGAGGTCCTGACCCAGGATCTGTCCAAGGTCAGCGGGTCCACAGCCCTGGGGCTCACCTCTCGTGGTGCATGGCTTCCCAGGTGTTGGGGGCCACTCTCAGAGTGCACAGGTCCATCGAGGCACTGGAGCTGCCGGACACCGCGGCCCCGCCTGAGAGCCTGCCCTGTCCTGGGGCTGCCAGCTTCACGCTGCCCTGCAGCTGCCCGTCCATCGTGTCTTGGAACTGGAAGGTGCCACCACACTCCAGGGCTGGAGCGAGAGCACAGCTGAGGCCCCGCCCCCCGGCCGCTGCCTGTCCGCCTGGCCGAGGGGCCTCTGCAGACAGAGCCCAGGGGCCCGAGTGGGAGCCGGCTGGCCCACCCCCCGCTACCCATGACTCGGACTCAGTGCCGGCCGGGTACCTGGCTCCGGCATGTCGGGCTCCAGGATGTCCCTGATGGACAAGTTGACACACATGTAGCGTGGTCTCCAGAACCGTGAGCTCAAGGGCTTCCTGCTCAAAAGGCTGTAGGGCTGGAAGCTGGCGGAGCTCCGCAGGCTGTCCACAGGGGTTAGCTCCTTGTGGTCCAGCTCCCGGACCACACTCCTGACCACCTTCTCAAAGGCCGATGCCATGCTCCTGAGGAGGGCAGCTGGTCCGGCCTTCCTCTCTCAGGGCTGGAAGAGGGCAGGGGAGGGGAAGAGCGGAGAGGTAGCTGCTCGAGTGTCTCCGAAGCAGTCCTGCCTGGCCAGGCCTGGGATGCTCGCCTCCAAGTGTGAGCCTGTCACCCACTGTCCATCTCTGCAAGGGTCCCCAAGCGCTTCCAGGCTGGATGTCACTCGCAGCCCTCCATGGGACTCGAGCCAGCCACACACACCATCTGTCCTGTGGCCAGAGTGCCCGCATGAAGCCCAGGAAAGCCCTGGAACGCAGCGCTTGGCGGGTAGGGGGCAGCCCTGGCCGCCCACCAAGCCCTCCATCACTTTGCTACTTCAACAAGGCTTCAGGCTGCTCACGAAAAGCAGCCACCGAGGAAGAGCAGGGCGAGGCTGGGGCTCTGTCTGCCTTAGCAGCTGCCTTCCTGGCCGAGGTGCTCAGAGAGCAGGGAGGAAGCAGAAGCCATCGCCTCCTGGGCAGTTGGTGCGAAGGCCCAGGCAAGGCCTGGCCCAAGCATCCCCAGCCCCTAGGCCTGTCCTCCAGGGCTTCCTCAACACCCAGAGCTCCGTGAGTCACTCATCTGTCTTCAGGGGTCAGGAGCCATTGCAGGCCTGACTCAGGACCCAGGACGTCTGGGCTGCAGGAAGCCTCTAAGCCTTGGCACTGGCCTGAGATCCCAGAGTGGGCCCAGGGGCACCTGGAGGTGCCTGCCTGGAGCTAAGCCCAAACCAGTCAGACTTCGGAGGGAGCCCCCTTCCCAGAGGCCTGGGGCTTCCCCAGCTGGTCTGATGAGGGGAGTCCTGGGGGGCTTGGGGAAGCCCAAGGAAGGTGACAGGACCCAATCTCCACCCAGAGTTGCTGGCCTCCCCCCCACTCACTCCCAGGAGAAGCAAGTGCCCCACCCCGGAGCCAGGGCAGGCAGCCCCTGCGGGGTGCAGCAGCGCAGGGCACGGGCAGGGGCAGCTCACCAGTGACCGTGACCGTCGCGTGCCTGTGCCCACGAAGCCGAAGCCAGGCTGCCCTGCCGGCCAGGATTGGAAGCCTCTGCCCTGGAGTTGCCCAGCGCGCACACAGCCTGAAGGTTCCCAGACCCAAAAGTGAAACCTCCGCGACGCTGAGAGGAGCCGGAAACGCCCCTGGTGAGCCCGCCCCTTGGCCCGGCTGAGAGTGGGGGTGCAGGGGGTGGGGGCGGGAGCGACTCTCACCCCACCCCCCACAGCCTCCATCCGCGAGGAGATTCTTTGATCCTTCTCTCCTAAAACCCCGGGGCCAGGGCAAAGGGTCTGAAAAAACATTTCTTCAGGGAAAGTGTACAAATGGCTAGTGAGCTCCGAAGAGGAGGCTCAGGTCATTAGCGTCAGGGAAATGCAAATCAAAGCAAGGTTAGAGGCTGCCTCACACCCATAGGTTAACTGTAATATAACAGGGGAATAAAAAGTGTGGGAGAAGACCTGGAGGAATCGGGCAGCACACAGCGCTGGGCTTGTAAAAGGGTGCAGGCGCCCGTCGAAAACAGTCTGGTAGTTCCTCAAAAAGTTAAACAGAGAACTACCATAGGCTCATCCATTCCACGGCTAGGTGTGCATTCAAGAGAAATGAAAACATGTTCATGCGGAAACCTGCACATGAATGCTCTCACAACGTTATTCTTAATAGCCAAGATGCACTGCAAATGTCTATCTATGGAAAATGTCCACCTATGGAGGCATGAACAAACAACGTGGTCAAACACACACGATGGAGCGGTCAGTGTGCAGCCTTGCAGAGGAAGTTCTGACACACAGCACAGCGTGGATGGACCTCAGAGCGTTACGCCAAGGTAAGAAGTCAGGCACGCAGGAAAACAGCTCTCAGGACCTGGGTGTATGAAATGAGAACAGGCAGATCCTGCAGGGACAGAAAGCGGAGTTATAGCTGCCGGGGCGAGGGGCGTGACAGTGTCTTTGGGGTGATGGGAATGTTCTCAGATTGGTTGTGCTGGTGGTTGCCCGGGTCTGGATATGCTAAACACCCGGAGTTTTATACTTTTAATGGGTGAATTGTATGGTTTGTGAATTATATTTCACATACCACAGTAATATTCAAAGCTGTTATTGTGAAAACGTGAAGCCAAGTGACGACATCCAGGCCTAGCGCAGGCTCTTGATGTCCTTCCTTCCTGGGCCATGTGTGGATCGTGTCCGGGGCAAGGCGCCCAGGAGCCCCACACCCCGCTTCTCCACTGCTCCACCGCCACATCCTGCCTCTAGGTCTCATGACCGTCTGGAGCTTATGCCAGGGTCCCTGCCGGCTGGCTGGCCCGAGACTCAGCCTACAAGCTCCGCTGTGCACACTCACTCGCGGGGTGGCTGTGTGTCAGCACCTGGCACCACGTGCTCCTGCAGATGAGGGCTCTGAAGTGAACTGGATGAGGGCCCCGCCAGGTAGAGCTGCTGGCATCAGCCCTGACGCTAGTGCAGGGGTTGTATGTTTTGGAACGTTGGAGCTGCAAATAAGTGGAAATGCTGATTCAAACAGAAAGGAAGCAATCTTGTGAAAGCAGAAGTTTGGAGCCGCTGTGAACTCTGGGCAGACACAGGCAGGCACTGTCCATCGGAGGGGGTGGTGTGGGGAGCAGGGTGACTTCAGTGCCTAACTGGGGTCTCTGAGGCCGTTTGTCTCTCCACATCAGGGGACTAGAGTGCAGGCCAGTGAGCTCTGCTGCTGAGGGCCTCTGGGGCAATGGGTCCTCACCCGTTGGGGTGTGGGGCTCCCACATCTGACCCAGTCGCTAGAGCCCATTTGCCAATATGAGCAGGGCATCCTGCTGGTGGTGGCAGGATGCTCCAGGAGGCTGAGTGTGCGTGTTCGTGTTCCCATGTGCATATAATGTAAGCATGTATGCACATGTCCACAAGTATGGGTGTACGTGCATGAGGTAGGTCTACGCATGTCTGTTCATGCGTGTGTATTCGTGTGGCTGTGTTTTGTGTGCTGTGTGCAGTCCTGTATTCTGTCGGGTGTGTGCTGGGACCCCCTGGCACTCTCCTGCTTCTCCCTGTTCCCACAGCGAAGCTTCTGGAAAGCTGTGTAGCCTCCCGGTGGCCCTAACTTCCACCTCTCCAGTTGGTCAAGCTCCAGGCCAAGGGTAGGGGTAGCAGCCTCTTCAGTACGGGGTGAAGCTGTGTGGGCTTCTAGCTGGGGTATGACTGGCCCCGGGTTTCGTTTTCTAGAAGGCCTTGCTGCCACGTGGGTGGACCGGTGGAGGAGGCAGGTCCCATCCACACAGAGGAGCAGTGCGGTGGCTCCAGCGGCCATGGCAACAGGGGGGTCATGCTCCACTGTGCCCCCTGCCGCAGACAGTGACCTGGGACTGAATGCACCATGGAGGGTGTTGTTGCTGCCTGTTCATGGGGAATCTTAGTTCCCTGACCTGATTAGGGATCATGGAACCAGTGCCCCTGCAGTGGAAGTGAGGAATTTTAACTGCTGGAGGGCCAGGGAAGTCTGGGGTTCAGTTCTTTAGCAACAGCCTACCCAAGAGGCACTGGGCTGGTGAGTGGTGGTGTCACCAGGCTCCTGAGGGCAGAGGTCAGCCTGAAAAGGCAGGAAGTGAATTCACTAGAGAAGAAGCAGAAGGAAGGCGGGAGGGGCTGGCCCTGCACCCCCCTCCCCCATCACGGGCCTAGGGAGCCCCAGGAAGTCTGGGGCAGCATCGGGCAACATGGGGGCACAGAGGCCTCCCTGGGCAAACTCTGGGCAGGCCCTGGGTCCGGAGACAGGGAGGACACTGTGCCTGATGGGGAAATGTGACCAGGGCTGGGAGGGGCTCTGGGCTGTGTGCAGGGAGGCTGTGGCACCTCCGAGAGAGCTGGAAGGAAGAAGCTCACTGCAGCCGCAGGCCTCTATCACCCAGAGTGGGGAGGGCTCCCGGCCAGACCCTGAAGGGAGCTGGGCAGTGGGGGCCGGTCCCTGTCCTGGAAATGCCCAGCCCCTGGGAGGAACAGAGCAGGACGAGGCAGTGGCTGGGACAACCCCTCAGAGGAGATGGGGGAGTGGGCGGGCGACGACGTGGGGTGAGGGGAGGGGGAGTGGTCCCGAGGAACCCACCCGCGCTCCCGCCCCACCGGGCCCACCCAGTCCCGGACCATCCGTCTTCAGGGCGCGCCGGGTCAGGGTTGCCGGGCCTCAGCGCGGGACGGGGTAGGGGTGTGGGGGGCAGCAGGCGGCGACTCCACCCTGGGCCCTCCACCCAGTGACACGGGGGTTCTCGGGGCGCCGCAATGTCGGCCGCTGCCCCGTGCCTCCAGCTCTGGAACCCGCGCGGGCAAGGGGCGGCCCGGAGGGCCCTGTGCGCCTGAGAGCCGCTCGGCCCGGAGGGATCGAGCGCGGCGCTGCGGGGCCGATGGGGTGCTGAACGCACCGAAGTCCAGGAGTCCTTTCCTCCCGGGTTGCGTCCCCGCGGGGCCTCCTCCCGCTTGCCGCCCCCGCCCCCCTTGCTGGCCCGGGCCCTCTGCTGTGGCTCGGACCGCCGGGCAGCAGCGCCTATCCGGCAGGCCCGCGGCCCACCCTCAGCGGATCGCTGGGCGACGGGGCGGCCTCGGGCCCAGGGGAGCTCCGGAGTCAGGAGGGGCGGAGGTCGCAGGAAGGCCGGGCAGAATCGGGAAAGGGTGCGGCGCGATCAGCGGAGGCTCACAGCCGATCTCCGGGTCGAGGTGCGTGACCAGCGGTTCCCGCACGGCCCTAGCAGCCCTGAGCCCTGCCTGGCTCCCTGGATTTTCTGCCGGCAGGGGCTGGGGAAGCGGCACAGGGTCCCGCCCCACCCCGAGTGACCCTGCAGGGGAAGGGGCCCTACTGCTCTGGTTTCCCGTGCTCTTGAGCCTCCCTTTATTTGCCCTAGCAGGAGAAGTCTCTGACCACTGGCCTCCAGGCATCGCTTGGCTGGGGGTGGGTGGTGACTTTTGCACCTGGCAGGGTCCCTGTCCCGGTTTGCCCAGGACTAGGGCATGTGGGACATTGTGGTGATGCCCAACCATCCATCCTCCGTGGCCGCTGAGAGCCTCATGGAAATGTTGCCATCTAGGAAACAGCAACTAGTCAACTTCTCTTCCCAAAGGATCTGGTTCTGAGGGTCACGCTTTGCAGTGAGGGTAGAGTGGGTGTTAGCGGCTGGGATGGGGGGACCCAGAGAGTCCTCAGTGGTTGGTCTCGTAGTCACTTCCAGCTTCTCCCCACTGGGACGGAAGGCAAGGGGGCATCCATGGGGTAGTGGTCCCAGTCAGTCAACACCTCTTCCTATGAGGGCCTGTGGTTAGTCGCTCAGTCATGTCCAACTATATGATTCCATGGACTGTAACCTGCCAGGCTCCTCTGTCTGTGGTTCTCCAGGCAAGGATACTGCAGTGAGTTGCCATTTCCTTCTCCAGGGGATCTTCCCAACCCAGAGACTGAACCCAGGTCTCCTGCATTGCAGGTGGATTCTTTACCACCTGAGTTGCCAGGGAAGCTTTATAATGGGCTATAAACAGGCTCAATGTTTTTGTCCCATGTAAGGAACTCAGCATTTAATTTTTAAACTTTTTACATAAGTATAGTTGACTTACAATGTTATGTTAGTTTCTCGTGTACAGCAAAGTGATTCATATACATATACATTTTCATATTCTTTTCCATTATGGTTTATTATAAGAAATTGAATATAGTTTCTTACTGAATATAATAAATTGAATATACAAACTAATCTATATTAGTTTGTATCTGCTAATCTCAAATTCCTAATTTATCCCTCCCCCAGCACCTGATATTTTTGTTCAGAAGGCCTTGCGTGTGTTTCCTTATTTCCTTTAGGGGGACTTCGAAAAGTGAAATTCCTCAAAAGGTATTCAGAGTCTTGGCATATATTGCCAACTGCCCTTCAGAAAGGCTATGCGAACACCCTAAAAAACTGAATGGTGAAGTCTCTTCCCTTTCACCCCCAAACACTCAGGGCAGATTTTTTTTTTTCCCCAAGGCCAGCTTTGGGGCCAGCTTGATGGGCATCAAAGTATTTTAAGTGTAACTGTCAAGGTCAGTTTTAGCCAGATAATTGTGACAGCACTTACATCCTAGTTAGTTTTTAGTTTCACAACTCCAGG